GGGAAAAAAATATCCTGTCTTGGTCATTTGTGTGGAAATGAAATGTGAAGAGAAATGTGTCAGCTTTTGGTTCTATTTATTTTCATGTTAAAACAGCAGAGATGGTTGTTGTAATCTCTGTGAGTAATTAGTTTAACACAAGCACAATACGTTTACTGTTGAGAAGGATGCTTTGAGTTCTAAATTGCAGACTTGTGCACAAAAATTAAAACTTAATTGATGTTGACTGTAGCTAGGGTTTCTTTTCACATCCTCAACAACAACAAAGATCAATCTGGGACATGGTGACAGATTTACCAAAGATACACAGATATTTGCAGAGAAGACTGGAAAAACAGTGACTAGTCAAATTCATCAAGTAACTTGATCCCATTCGTTTTTTTTTAAGTTCAGACAGTGTCTTATTGAGTAAAGTTACCCTTGTAGTTATAACTGGTATTTCCTATTTTCATAATAGATGCCCAAGAAATATTACTTCCTGTAGAACCTTCACAGTCAGATCTAAGCATATTTTGGGTCATGTCAGTGTTTGAGAATACTGAACTTTATCTTGACTTATATTTAAACAGCTTTCTGGATGTTTTGTTCTACAAAGAGAAATAAAACAGTAGTAATCATTTTTAAACTGTTTTTAAGATCAGCAGTACCGTGGTTCGCTATAAGCACCAAATAATTTCCCCAATGCTGAGCCAAAGAACCACTGTTTCCTACTGTTAAGCACTTTTCCCTACTACAGTGGCAAAAAAATGAAAACATAAAGTAAATAATATTTGTACATAAAGTATAAGTTACAAGAAAACCTCAAGGTGTTCTTGTTCTTTTAATAACGCTGTTATTAAAGCCTTGATATATTCAAATTTTTTTCTCTTTGCAGAAGATCTTTGAAAATACATGACATAATGTTCAGCTTGTTTCATTTGATGGTGGATTAATTGTTACAAGTGGATCTACATTTGTTTGGTTATTGTTTCAGTCCTTTATTGTCAAAGTGCAGTAAGGTGATCTGGTTGCCACTCTAGTAACACAACCTAAACACATTTTAAATTTTTGTTTCTCATCATTACTTTAATATTCTAATCATCTTGCCTTAATTTGTGAGCAGACTGTTAAATTAAGTTGGGACTGACGTTAGTTTGCAAATCAGAATCTGAAAGTTTCTTGGGAGTCTAAAAATCTACAAAACATTTGCAGTAACACCAAAGCTAGCAGTGTCACTTCATATCATCTTACACTGTGTATATTCTCATTTAGGCCCACGTGACTTTTCTCCAGTTGGTGTGACGTGCGTGAATTGGGTTGTTGCTGCTGTGCCTTCCGCTGGAGGTCTTAAATGTGTTTTATGTCTAAACGGTTCAAATTTATTTTCAGTGTGAAACTTTATGCTGTGTTAGTGCAAGAGGCTCCATGTTTTGAGTATACCTCGACCCACCACTCAGTGACCCTGCCCAAAACTAGTCTTTTTTTTTTTAAACCAACAATCCATTAAATACTAATTCATCAAAAGGACTTGGGTAATGCTACTTAGGAGCCAAAGAAAAATACTGAAATAACTTAATATTTGATGTATCCAGTTTTGTTGACCTTCAGTGAAATATTGTACAAAAACATTCAAAGTAAAAAGGTTTTACTCTATTCAATGGTTCAGCTCTTTGACAGAATTTGGATATTTAATTAACAAGTTCTGCTTTATTAGTGGAGCAAATTCACCATTAATTCATGTGTGCTACAATGGTAATGTGCTTTTAAACCTGATGCATGTGGTACCAATGCTGTTTGCTCCTCAGCTTACACCCAGCCACCTTTGTTTTAATCTTAAAGACAACCAAATAAACAGTCTACTCCAGTTTTAGCCTATACTTACAAAAATAAACTCCAGCTTTGTGGTATTCCGTGTTTTTAAACTTTCCTTGTTGCACTTTGTTCTTTTCAGTTTTTCTAACCTGCATTTCCCTGCTTTCCAAGTGGTCTGATATCGCTTTAAGTAACCGCAGAGCGTTTTTAAATGTATCATATGTAATTTTGCATTTGCATAATTTGATCTTAAGCTACTGTTAGTTTTGTACTGTAAAAAAGTTATTCCAAATAAAATATTTGAGCAGTTTGTCTTTCCTACGAGTAAACATCGTTCAATTAATGAGCTTCACACGTTCATGTTTTTGTGAAGATTTCTCCATTTATTTGTCAGGTTTACAGCATTTTCAATTTCTGCTTTACACGGGCTTCGGAGGAGCTCTTGGTGCACCAGCCTGTAAAAGAGAAACATTCTTAGATTACACAGGTGTAACCACGGATGGAACTTTGCCCAAGTTATACTTTTGTGTTCCTGTTATTAGTAATGAGATTATCTACCTAATTAAGGTGCTATACAAAAATAATTCTAAACACTTAATGGAGCTACACAACAGGAGGTAAGAACTGTGTTTAAATAGTACTTACAGCAGGCCTAAACCTGGGTGGTGGGGTGCGGTCTTTCCTGGCCTCACAGGAGCGGTTCCTCACCACCTTGCTGTGGATGGCACAGCTGACACAGTAGTGCAGCTTCACATAGAGCTTGGGCAGAATATATGCTGCAGAGTGGACAAAGGTACAGATGAGTCAAATCATCGGGATGAAAAGGGGGTTTTATGAAATTAAGTACAATACAATACACTCACAGTCGAAGACGCTGGCCTCTGAGATGTCTCTCACGGCTGCCGCCTCCACGATATTCCTGATCACAAACTTCTTGATGGCCTTGTCCTTGGGGACACAACGGGCACAGTTGGTGCAGCGGATGGGCTGCACATGCCCACGGCCCTTCTTAGCACGACCGTTGTTCCTCCTCTTCTTGGTCTGCCAAAACACAATAAGGGTTACCAATGACAAAGTAAACCTGAGTAAAATGTTAAAACAGAACTACATTAGGCAGTCTCAAAAATTCAGCTGTGTTAAGGTGGAAACAATTAACAATCACAAGAATATATCTGCTTTCCCCTTGAAATCCCACATCAACACTGGTTTCAAAACACCAGTTATTAACACTGGCCACAAAGCAGTCGCTTCAAACTGACGGTCTAGTTTACTATAACGTCTCAACGTTGGTGGGAATCAGAATACTTTATTGATCCCTGGGGGAAATTATTTTTTTGTTACAGTGCTCCATTATAAACCAAGGGAATTATCAACCATCAGTTTAAGGGAACCCCTTAAACTGATGCACGTGCAATCTAGTTCCACATACACGTATGAACTAATGCCATCAATCACGAGACATTTAATGATTATTGAGTTTTGTACAATCATCTATCACTCTTACACGGTATGACTGACTCAAGTCACGGTTGGGGCTTACTGAAAAACACATTTTTAACCATGAACTGTTATATTTTATCGGTTGCTTTGTCAATCGCTGTGATGTGGCTTTTCTTTTTAGCCGCATCTCTTAGCTATGTTACAGCCCAAACCTGCACCGTCGTTATCCTTTGCTAGCACACGGAACACATGCACA